ATATTTTCCGCCATCTTGAAACTGAAGGCGGGCTTTTGAGTTTCGTTACTAAAACTACAATTTTTTACTCAAGGTGACTAAGTAGGAAGTTCTTGATGTCCACAAGAGCTTCCTGACACACTAATAATTCGGTGGCTGTGTTGATGGGTGGTAACAATGTATTTCCACCGCAAAAACAATGATATTTTGGCAAGCCCAAATTTCAACCGTGAATCAATCTCGTGGTTAAAAATGGAAGTATGCAAATCAGATGACAGGGGAAGGACGCCCCCTACGGGAGCTATCCACTGTTATTTTGATTTTATTTAACCAGTATTATATGATAATTGGCAATTATCCCATTTGTTTATGAAATTAAAATTTCATTAACCAAAGGGGTTAGTATGCAATACTCTGTAATAAACAGCAATCCAAGTACACACACCCACCCACCCACCCCCCACCCCCCCCCCCCCCCACACACAGACACACTAACTACAAAGACTCCCTTTTTGTGCTTCGCACACGGGAGTCAAAAGTGTATAGCCAACACAGACAGTTGGAATAAATGTATAAGATGAAAATCACTATTATTAATACTTTTATTTTGTGTTGTAAGTACAAAGTGGGGATATTCCTAAGCACTTTATGTTTTTGAAGAGTGTTTTTAAATTAGTATTATAAGCTATATAATTGCATGCTAATAGCCAAGGCAGACTCCTGCAAATTTTGATTTTCAAAATTTATATACCTCGACAAAGAAATGTTTTTTTTTTTATAATACAAATACATATTTTTGAGTATAATTGTCATCTCAAAATGTAGATGAGACTAAACAGACAATTTTTTTTATTGGCTTCAGATCTTGACCAAAAGTTTGGCACCCAATTCATAGGATTGCTTATATTGATAATCTGACATCTTGTTTTCTTTGAAGACTTTATTGGTGGGTTTGCAAATGTGTATCATACTGTGCAACAACTCTCTCCAGGAGTTGGTTTTGAGACCCAGTCTAGTATACCCATGGGATTTGGGAGATACATTACCAAAAATATTATTACAAGATAAATGATTTGCTTCATTAAACACAGACAACAATGCATATTCCCACTGGGATCAGTGACCTTAGAATCACCAGTGATCAGTCAAGTAGAAACAGTCGAAATATTTTAGCATATTTTCATAGAGAACATCTGTTGTTCATACTAAAGGAAGACTTTATAGTGATGAATAAGGTGACCAAGTTTGAAACAGAATTAGAAGTTATTGTGCACACAATAACAATGACGACAACAACGCCAAACAGAAATTTTCTCTTAATATATCTTTCCTTTCCATCTTTGATGGTACGGGCAAGGTAATAATACCTAAGCAATCAGGCTTGCGGTTTTTAACAAGAAGTCAAAAATGTAACTTTTTACCAAAAATATTCATCAAAATTAGAGAATTGAAGATATATTAACGACATGAAGAATTTTGAGAGAGGTTCACATGTAGTACCAATATATGTATTATCAAAGTAATTGAATTTGTTTCAGATCTTCTAATGATATCTTTAATTGAATGTGCTTTGCTAACAGTGGAGCCGATTGGCTGCTCGTTATGCATTTTTTATGTATTGTTTTTTGTTTGATAACTTTGGACTAAACAGATTTTCTATTACTTCAGATCTTGATCAAAAGTTTGGCATCCAATTCATAGGAGTGCTTATATTGATTTTCTGACATCTTGTTTTCTGTAAAGATTTTAGGTTTGCAAATGTGTATCAGACTGTGCAAAAACTCTCTCCACGAGTTGGTTTTGAAACTCAGTCTAGTATTCCCATGGGATTTGGGAGATGCATTACCAATGATATTATTACTAGTAAATGATTTGCTTCATTAAACACATACAACAATGCATATTCCCATGGAGATCAGTGACCTTTGAATGTGATCACCAGTGATCAGTCAAGTAGAAACAGTCAAAATAATTTCATCAGATTTACTCAATTTTTGCATATTTTCATACAGAACATCCGTCGTTCATATTAAGACTTTATACTGATGAATAAGGTGACCAAGTTTGGAATAGAATTAGTAAAGTTATTGTGCACACAATATCAATTATTAGCGACAACAACGATGACAACGACAATGCCAGACAGAAATTATTCCCATAATATACATTTCTCTTCCATCTTTGATGATACGGGCAAGGTAAAAAGGACGTTAACGACTTTTCTAAACGAGGCAGGGGCAAAAAAGTTGAAGAGATCTTACAAGGGAATAAAAACAAAAATAATGTTCAATGTACTTTTAATAAAATATTTATTTCTGTTTACTTTCATGAAATTAAAATAACAGATTGGCAAGAATTATTCCATGTAACAAACCACCTTCGATTTATAATATGTACAAATGCCTGAAAACATGCACTGAGGGCGCTATACTTTCAAAAATCAAAATCATACCCGGAGGAACCAGCCTCAATCTATCGCAATCACATGATCAATATATGTGATAGATATTACAGCCTCTCTAATTATTGCTTTATTTTTGATTTACACCGGTAATATGTCATCACACTTAGTCAACATTCAAATTACCACCACTAGAGGGCGTACTATTTACATAATGTTGAAAAGCTAATAGTAAAAAACATTTCTACAAAAGAATTCAAAATGGCATTAAATTTTAAATTAAATTTTAACTATTTCACCCCAGACAAGTTTTTTTTAAACTCTCCAAATGTTATGAAATTTATATAAATATTAATAGTGTGTTTTTTTTCATTGCACTTTTTTAACTATCATCAATGCATGGTTTTTGCATAGTTGCAAGGTCATCTTTACAGATATTCATGATTACCTGATATTTATGCACAAATCTATGCATTCGGCCGTGTAAAGTGAACGGAATTCGCAACAAAGATCAGAATGAGGTAAGTATCCAATGAAATGTGTAATTGTAAAAAACTTTATTAAATAGTTTGAAAGAAAAAGCCATCTCACATTCTTTATGTGAAATACCTTTCTTGATTGTAGAAATGGCTTTTGGAGAATCTGTTGGTGAATATTTACACTTTACTGATGGTAAATCTAATGAATCATAAAATAATATAATAATTCAGCTGGTAAAATTTAACTATACAAACCAATGATGACACCAATGTTAATTTTAATTTAAAAATGATTGGCAGTATATGTTCAAAATTAATTCAACTTTCAGATGAAGATCCGAATTGCAGCCAAACATGCAACACTACAAAGAACGCAGATAATATATATGCCTACAAATATGTCTACATATCAAGTAAAGTTACAGTGTATATATATATATATATATATATAATTTATTTAGTTGTCTTTGAGACAAACACTGTGGTGATTTCAGTGAACCATGCATAGAGAAGCTGCAATTATTCTTGAATAAACCATGCACACACAAAAAAAATAATTGTTATATTTTGTGCCATTAAATGGTCGACTAGCAGTGACAAGAATCAGTAACATGGCAGCATTCATTGTAAATTGCACTAAAGGTATCTCAAGCATTTTAATAAATTCTAAAAAAATATTTATATATATATATATACAAGTACATATACATGTACATACACACTATGTGATGGAAAGTGACAGTACTATACAAATAAAACCAAGTTTGGGATGTTATACTATTTATACTATGTCAAAATGTGTGTATAAAATATTATGTTTGAATGGGAAGCAACACAAACGTTACTCTGTCTGTACAAATACAGCACCAAGTAGTCTTATCAACTGAATTACCAGTGTCATTATAACATTGCTAAAGTATAAACATGAAAGATACACAAGTCTGTGAATCTACAATGTAGGTGATTTATTGTTAAGCTTGTAACTTAGCATCCACACTGTGAAGCACTATGTTTGTTCTAAGCCCCATCAAGTTTAAGAAATGATATAAATATGTTTTACTCTACATACATGTACATGATCAAAACTAAAATAAAATATTTTCGAGCCCAGTAAAAGAAGGGACCAAAATCTGATTAGTCATATCCAGTTTCACTCACTGGTTTTCCTCACGATGGTTTCCAATTCTTGTCCCTATTCTTGATCATCCATGCAATATGACCATCCTAGACCGACAGCACCACCACTGAGGGCGTAGTCACTTCAGTTGCCAGCTTTCAAGGTTACTCAGCATCTGCAAAAAGTGAAACAATTTTTCATAAAAATACTGAGGGATTGCTGAGGAGTCTTAAGAAAATAATTGTGGGTATTCAAAACTCAAATGAATCTGAAGCAATCTGAACATGTAAATTGTGGATACCATACTTAATATAACTGCAAAATCTGCCTTCCTCCCAAGAATTGTATACAATACGATCCAACATGACAGACATACAACCAACCAAGGACTTATAAGGGTATACAACTTGTATACAAGCCTGAATTGTGAAATGATCACAACAACACTCGAAAAACAGACATTTCTAATGCAAATGAATAAGTATGTGAAACACCTGGTTAGAATTCCTCTCAGGTTGTTTTTGATAGTGTCACTGCTTATTCACAAAGCGTTTATGACATTTTTGGCTTTTTTTTTAATATGAGGATATACAATCATACAAGTGGACATAGTCTAACCTTTCCAATTGTCCACTGAATTCTGTGATATGCCATTGGTTAAAATAAGTTATATTTTATACACAGACACGTGTATCACACAGAATGGAATATTCACTGCATATCACCATATATAGGTAGTATACTCCCTTATCTATAAATCCTCGATACAAAAAACATACAAACTTAACATGAGTTACATAATAAAGGTGAAGCAACATAAGAAACCATTTTTAATCACACAAGGAAATTGTTGTTTGAACCACCATATGATGTCCTAATTTCCAGCACAATTAGATCATCAAATACCCCCCCCCCCCATGTTTTTTATTGACCAAACAAATCAATATACATTAAAATTGAAGAATTGAAGCTATCTATCCTGATGTAGTTTCCCATAATGCACTATTTAGGCAGTATGTAAGATATATGGCTATACTAGTACACAAAATGGCCACCGGTAGGCCATTTTGAAGTGAACTGAAAAAAGAATATATTTGCACAGGTTTTTCTTGACACATTATACATATGTAAATGATACCTACTTCTCAAAATATATCAATAAGGACGTACAATGGTGCAAACAGTGACAAAAACAATTATTTAACGATGTTGCAGTGTTAGTAATTAATTAACATAACGAACCTGTCCATGCTGCAAAACTGTAAGAATCACAGACAGTCAACAGATTCATCAATATAAAGAGAGGTAACATGCATGTCATTATCATCTGGACTACAAATAAATAAACACAAAAAAAATTAAATTAAAATGTGCAATTTATAATGTTAGAATAATAGTTAAATTAATTTGATAGGTTAACAGACAACTTACTGATTTCTGTACAAGTACTACACAAGTGTACTCGTCAGGTTTGTCAAGAATCTTAATATGAAGGTATAGATTACTCTATGTACATGTAAATTTACAGTTTTATTCATATGCAAATTAGTTACCATAATTGGAAGTTTTTAAAAGGAGAAGGCCATGCTGCAACAATGTTGGCTCACGTTCGTGTGTGTGATACTTTAAAAACAATTGAAGGAAAAACTGAACAAGCAGCCTATCGGCTGAGATAGCTCCGCTGTTAGCAATGCACATTTCAATTAAAGAACTGAAGACATCATTAGAAAATGAACAATATGAATAGTATCAAAGCAATCGGACTTACAGTTTTTAACAAGAAGTCGAAAATATCACTTTTTACCGAAAATTACAAAAATATTCACCAAAATAAATTAATTAGAGAATTGAAGATATCATCACAAAATGAACAAATCTGAGAGAGTTCCACATGTAGTACCTATATATGTAATATCAAAGCAATCGGACTTACAGTTTTCAACAAGAAGTCGAAAATATCACTTTTTACCAAAAATGGCAAAAATATTCACCAAAATTAGAGAACTGAAGATATCATCACAAAATGAACAAATCTGAGAAAGGTCTACATGTAGTATCTATATATGTAATATCAAAGCAATTGAACTATTGATTTTTAACAAGAAGTCGAAAATATCACTTTTTACCAAAAATTACAAAAATATTCACCAAAATTAGAGAATTGAAGATATCATCACGAAATGAACAAATCTGAGAGAGGTCCACATGTAGTACCTATACATGTAGTATCAAAGCAATTGGACTTGCGGTTTTTAACAAGAAGTCGAAAATATCACTTTTTACCAAAAATGACAAAAATATTCACCAAAATTAGAGAATTAAAGATATCATTACAAAATGAACAAATCTGAGAGAGGTCCACATGTAGTACCTATATATGTAATATCAAAGTAATTGCACTAGCAGTTTTTAACAAGAAGTCGAAAATATCACTTTTTACCAAAAATGACAAAAATATTCACCAAAATTAGAGAATTGAAGATATCAACATGAAATGAACAAACCTAAGAGAGGTCTACCCAAGGTACATATACACCAAGTATCAAAGCATTCAGGCTTGTAGTTTTCAAGAAG